GTTGTTTGAGTGGAACTTACTTCTCGCCGATGGAATACGGGGGGAATGTGGGTGTTTTGCTACAATGTAAGTGGCATGGCAGCACTTAGCCGTGAAAGTTAGACCTGGCGGGGACCAAGAAAATTTATCCGAGCACTTCCCATGGAATTAGAAATAGGGCGATTAGAGGCTCGCCGTTTCCCGCCTGTGTGAGAAAGGTTGGGGCGTGGCAATCAATTCGTCACCTACAAGGACTTGGAAATGCTTTTGAACTATGTAGACTGGAATGTGATGACTGGTCAGCCCCCGCCCACATATGATAACAGTACTCCATTTACGGCCTGATTTGGCTCTTGTTAAGGTAGGGGATAGCGTGAGGTGTCATCTTACTTACTGGATCGGTATAGGGAGCTGACCATTTTACCTGCATCTTTAGAGGCCTCTATCTTCGCCTATTTCTCTTGCTATTCAAATTCGCCAACGAATTGGTTTTGTTTTCATTTGCAGTCTCGACCCCCCCCAGCTAATACACGTGTTAATTTCGGCGACTATTTCGGTTGTAGGAAGTTCGTTCATCACTTGTAGCCATGTGACGAACGAATTCTTCACTTACAATTCAAATCTTGTATACACATGTCTTCGTTTCCAACCCAATACCGAGGGAATATGAATGGTTTGCTATAATGCAATTGGCATAATGGATCTTAACCTTGAACGTTAGACCTGGTGGAACCAAGGTATGTAGTTCGTACGATCACTTTCCATTGTAGTAGCGAGAGACCAATGAGAGACCGCTTGTTATAGTGAGTTTGAAGAGTGGAAAAAAGTTCTTCTTCAATAAGGTCTTGGCGACGCTTTGGACTCAATCGCGATAGAAAAGTGTGGACTCGGCAGCTCCCATCCGAATATGGCAACAGTACTCCAATTTCGGCCTGATCTGTCTCTTATAAAGGTAGAATATAGCTTGATTAATCAGGTACTTACTGGAGCGGTACAGAAAGCAGATAATTTTACCTACATCTTTTGCGATGGATATAAGAGTTTCCCTTGACGTTCGGTGTAGGTTTGAGGCCCAATATTTTCTCAAGGCACGGTTTTCCTCGAGCGGACATTCGTTCATCGTTACTGGCGATCATTTGCGGTCTGATCGGAGGTAATGGAATAGTGGACAAAAGCGTTGGTTTCTTTACTTGGTGACATAATAATAGTGTGTTCAGTCCAGACATTGAGTACTTGATCCGATAGTCAAGATATCCCTAGATATGGCAAGTTGACTGAGAAACCCGCTGTGATCTTTTAGACATTTATTATATAAGAATAAAGTGACGCTGCCGACTCTTGAGTTTAAACATTGATCGCCAGTGAGCAAACACAGGCGATCCCGTTACTCAAGTGAGTAGACCACGTGACCATAGAAGGAACGCATAAATAGGCAGTAGGGTGACGTCTAAACGATCACCATTTCTAGTCTATCCTCTATTACTATTCAAATCGCTATTTCTAGTCTATCCTCTATTACTATACGAACCGCTATTCTCTATACCATTCTCTATACTATTTCTATTTCGTATCAATATACGGATTACTATTCGAGCGAATATTATCGGGCAAGTACTATTAGTGCGAGTGATATTCGAAAGCGTTTGACATCAGCATTGTTCAACGGCGTTACTATAGTTGTATCTGCGATTACAAAGTCTCTACTACAACGAGCATTACGAAAGTGACATCGAGTACTCCTTGGGATTACAAAAGTTGCAACGAGTGTTCCTTGACATCACAAAAATACTCTTTGTAAGATACCCGGATGACAAGCACCTGGATGCTAGATAACACAATGGTTGACACCTTGTGGTAATAACAGCAAAGATAATGGCAGTACTACGCATGTAAATAATTCTTATCCCAGAAATTCAAATAGGAAAACATTATAGGTCTTTTGAAATTCGTCGATGTTCAAGGGAACTATAACAGTAATATTAGCCGTTACCTTATAAGGAAACATTTTCCATCTATTGACATGGTAGCCAGTACTAATACTACTGCCGGTTGAAAATGATTAAAACTTCCTATTAAAACAATTTTTTTCGGGAAAATACCTTTCTCAAGTACATTTATGTAGTTCTTTCTAGTGTGGATTGAAGTTTCCTTTCTAACCCTTTGTTTACGGTGGTGTCGAATGTCAACATTTTGGTCATATCATTATTTTCCTTTCAGATTCCATGTGCTACCTATTTTAGTTGTTGTTGATGTTGGAAGTCTTTAGTCCTCTTTCGTGATGGGAATTTCCTTCCTAACCTTTTGTTTGAAGTCGGGTGGAAAGTCAATATTTTGATTATGTCATTATTTTCTCTTCGGGTTACATGTGGTATCCATTTTAGCTGTTGCTGTTATTGAAAGTCTTCAAGGGTATAGTTTCTGTTATTTAATATAGTTCTTTGTGATTCTGTAGCGCCAAGATTTGAAAAGGATGTTCTTCAAAGCTGTTTTTCATCACTGATCTGAGAAAGCGATTGTAAACATTATCAGATTAGATATTTTTGAACGGGTTTGGTGCCATGAGAGTCATCCACATGAAAGTCGAGTTTTTCAAGTTAATATTTTGGTTTTGTAGCAACTGATGGTATTGGGCGAAACTATCCCTGCGCTTCACTATAGTCAATTTTCTTATCTCCTTTGCTAATTTTTTTTTATAGATAATTTATACACTAAGGTATTCAAAATGTTAATATTTACTAATTCCACATCCAAAATGTTTATGGATTCAGGTTGACATCACTGCTTTTATTTCAATTTCACATCCATTTTCTGTTTTGAAAAGGTTTATCTTGAGTGATAATTCTTGGAACACTTTATACAGGATGTTGATTTTCTGATCAAGCACTTATACCAGCTATGAATACCGATGTCGACAGCGTAACCCACCATCATCTTCAGGACATTGGCCTCAGGAGGTAAAGCAAGATCGCGGTCTTCTGTTAGTAGATTCCTTTGGAATGTGATACTAAATGATCTGTACCGATTTCAGCGCATCTATACTTGTAAATGCGCAGAGCACAGTCCAGGAAACATTAAACAGATTTAGGCTCTCATCCCCACCTTGACGAAGTGCTTATGAGGTTTGAAATGTTTTCTGTATTTCCCTCCTCTGTATAGATTTCGTATTTTGTGGGCTGATAAATTTTATCCATTAGATCGATGCATTCCGTGCATTCAGTGAAAGAATTGGTGTACTTTCTTGTGGAAGAAGTGTTTTTGAGAAGTCACAAACAAAAAACTTTTATTCAAGAGTATTTTCATACAATAAATTGCTCCTTCCCCTTTTGCAAGGATGATTAATATTCACCCTAACGAAAACCGTTTCTAATATGTAAAATTTCTATAAAACTTCTAGTGGTCTTTCATTAGGAGAGATTGATTTTTTTACGGCTTATCAAATTTTAGTAGCTTATTGTTGTGGAGTAGTTTTCACAGTGGAGGCTTATATTTCAATAAGTCGTCCTAAATTAGGTTCGACATACAAAACGTTAGGAACTTGAAAATAATAGTTAATGACGCAGTAATCTAGTTATGATGGTTGGTACTTCAATGTCCGATATCGTCTGACGCGCTCAACACCACTGAGTATTTATCGATCCACCCACGAGGATTGAATATGGCACAAGGCCATGTTTAATGTGGGTTTCTCCGAGCCCGTAGGCTCGGCCAAAAATATAGCCTTTGAACCCGCCTAGACGGGTTCAGGCCCTGTCTACCTCCCCGGACGAAACCCCGCCCTTCGGCAAAGCCTCGTCCGGGTTCCTCTCTGCTAACGCAGTGAGTTCGACAGCACTGGGCCGAACTGGTTACTGCTACCACTACTTATTATCTGTGGGAGAGTCCATTACAATAGAATAGGTATGTGGTATGACACTTATTTAAACTTGAAAAATGTTTGCGGATTGTAAGAATAACTCTTTTTTTGCGAATGGTTACTTTTTTAATTTTTTGTTAAGCCTTTCCACCCCAAGCAAGGTGGGAAGCCACTATCACGCAAGGGGTTAGAGAGAATTGGAGTGAGAGCAAATAGGAGTGATAGAGGAAAGGATGAAGAGAAGGATAGGGGATAGATCAAGGCATCTGGAGACGTCGATTGACATTACATTTGAATAGTTAGAGATTATAGCTATCAGAGAAACAGGAAAAGGAGAGAAAGTTCCACAGTCAAGAAGTGCAAGACATGAAGCTATTGGAGTAGAAGAGACGGCTACATTTAACAGTTTCGACAGTGAAAGGGTGAGAGCGAGATGCCAGCAAAGTTGAACGCTTAAATTCATTCTGGGAACCAGCGAAAGCAGCTCATCGGTGTGATAGGAGCTGCAGGCGAATCCATTGAGAACGACCTTCAATACACGGTTTGACAGGAATGATTGTATTAAGTCAAACAGTAAACCTGAAATTCCATAACCCTAAGCTTGCGTAGAAGGCCAGATTGCCAAATCCAATCAAACGCTTTGGAGATATCTAGAACCAAGGCTCGAGCTTCTCCGTTATTATGAAGGGCTTGGTAAACAATTTCAGCGATAGCCGTAAGCACATCAGCTGTAGACGGGCAAACAGAAACCATATTGCTTGTCGGAGAGCAAACCATGTCGCTACGATATCGGTGGAAGAAGTGGTTCCTATGGGCGATGGCGGCTGAACAAGCAGCGGAGAACCAAGGGGAGGAGCTCGATTTGACTTTATATTTACTTGAGGGGATGAAAGCTTCGATTCCAGCTTTAACCCAGGAGTAGACCTCAGAAGCACATTCTTGAACGGGGAGCGTAAAGACAACATCCCAGGGGATATCGCGAAGGAAATCCCGGAACGAGACCCAGTCTGCTTAATAATGGGATATTCTGCTTTGATTACGAGGAATGATTGAAAAGAGACACTAGAAACGTTGTTTTGTTTCAAAGAAATAAAAGCAGTCCATGTCAATACCTATATTACATAAATAATGAAGTCGTCTGTTTTGTGGACAGACCCAAAAGACATACCGAAGACGCTGCTTTGAGAAAGAAAGAAAGAAAGAAAGAAAGAAACCAACCAACAAACAAAAAAACAAAGAAATAAATAAAGAAAGAAAGAAGGAAGGAAGGAAAGAAATAAATAAATAAAGAAAGAAAGAAAAAGGAAAGAAAGAAAGAAACCGACAAACAAAGAAACAAACAAACAAAGAAACAAACGAAACAAACAAATACGAAAGAAAGAAAGAAAGAAAGAAAGAAACCAACCAACAAAGAAACAAACAAACAAAGAAGGAAAGAAAGAAAGAAAGAAAGAAAGAAAGAAAGAAAGAAAGAAAGAAAGAAACCGACAAACAAACAAAAAACAAAGAAATAAATAAAGAAAGAAAGAAGGAAGGAAGGAAAGAAATAAATAAAGAAAGAAAGAAGGAAGGAAGGAAAGAAATAAATAAAGAAAGAAAAAGAAAGAAAGAAAAGAAAAAAAACAAACAAACAAACAAACAAACAAACAAATACAAAAAAAGAAAGAAAGAAACCAACCAACAAAGAAACAAACAAACAAAGAAGGAAAGAAAGAAAGAAAGAAAGAAAGAAGGAAAGAAAGAAAGAAAGAAAGAAAGAAAGAAAGAAACCGACAAACAAACAAAAAACAAAGAAATAAATAAAGAAAGAAAGAAGGAAGGAAGGAAAGAAAAATAAATAAAAAAGAAAGAAAGAAGGAAGGAAAGAAATAAAGAAAGAAAAAGAAAGAAAAGGAAAGAAAGAAAGAAACGACAAACAAAAAACAAACAAACAAACAAATACGAAGAAAGAAAAATAAAGAAAACCAACCAACAAAAACAAACAAACAAACAAGGAAGAAAAGAAAAGAAAGAAAAGAAAGAAAAAAAAAGAAAACAAACAAACAAACAAAAAACAAAAAAAAAAAAAAGAAAGAAAGAAGGAAGGAAGGAAAAAAGAAATAAAAGAAAGAAAGAAAAAAGAAAAATAAAAGAAAAAAAAAGAAAAAGGAAAGAAAGAAAAGACAAAACAAAAACAAACAAACAAAGAAACAAACAAACAAAGAAACAAACAAATAAGAAAGAAAGAAAGAAAGAAAGAAAGAGGAAGCGATACTGATGTCGAGATTTACGTCTGCTTCAATGAAAATGCAAAAAAAACTCGTCAGCTTTAAATATTTTCAGAGAGTAGCTCTTACTTCTTTAAATAATGACATGCTCAAATATTTAACGATGCAATATGTGGAGGATTTCTACAGGTATTTTATGGCCGTGGGAATCGCAATGAATTTCTTTGAATATTACGATACATAACACAATTCAAATAGGAAAGCCATAAAAATTTCGCGCATAGCGCTAGTATGGAATATCGTCTTAAGGAAATACATGTTTCTCTGGAATATAATTTTCTATTTATGTGCAAATTAATTTGTCTTAAATAATATGTTGTGGGTACAAAATATTAATAGGACTTTAAAAATGTATATTATAAGTAATTAACAGTGGGAATGGAGTGTTAAAATATTTTTTTTCAAAAATAGAAAGAAGTTCACTCAATTTCCATCCCTAAGTAACACATGAAAACCTGGGATAAACATTCCTATTTATTAATATTTTACACGAGAAACGAGAATTTACTTAAATAACCCATATCCCCTGTGTCTATATGAAAAGCTACATATTATAAGGTTTCCTAAAAAGAATGATCTTCTAAATCAGATAAATGAATTAACTGTAATTTGTATTTTAATTTAAAGTATAGTTATTTGAAATTTTTCATAAAATAATTTACGCATTACAATTACATATTCATTATTTTATTAATATATTGTTATAGGGACCTACGTTCATGGACAAAATAGACTCGTTTTATGACTATATTATGCCTCGCAAGAGGACTGTCGACAGTTGTCTACTCTACTTAGCCATCAGACGGACGTGCAACAATTCTGTATTCGTTCTTTTTGTTAATAATACGTTTTCACTGAATTACTGAGTTGGAGTTTTCTTTCGGACCTCTTCCGGATCCACAACATACATAATAGTCCATATAATATTCATTTAATGCTTTGCTTTTACATTTTAATATTGCCATATTTTATTGCCAATTCAATATAATAAGTACCGTATTTTGGATTCAAAATATATATAAAAATATTTTAATTACACTAGAGGGCTCTTTAAGAGAGTTCTAAAATGGTCTGTTTATATATATATATATATATATATATATATAAACAGACCACTTTAAGGTTCCATTATAATAATTTATTTCACCAGAGCCTTTTTAAAGGAACGCTAGATCATCAGATAACACTTCCAAAAAATGAAACGAAAGATGAAATGAAAATTCACATATTTGACGGGTAGAATTAAGGTTATGTAATTGAACAGAGAGGGTAGTGAGGACTGGTGTGAGAGACATGGTCAAGTTTAGAGAGGGTTTATTTTAATATTTTTTCAATCATATTTAGTATTGGGGAGGAGGGACCAGACATGGACCTATTTACATTGAGCTCTCAGGATGTCATCTTCCGTGGGACTACCCATACGGATTATCAAGTTTTTCATCACTTAACTAATATATATATATATATATATATATATAAATTTTAAATCTTGAAATTTCTTAAAATTAACCTTACAGCATCTTAAATTTATATTCGTAACTGGATGCCGTCTGTAATGACGTGCGTAAACATTGTCAATTTATCTAGATATGAAGTAATAACCCACCTACTTCTAAATTCTAACCTCGTTTTTCTATGTCAGTTTTGATCGGTGTTTTGATTGGTTAATCAAGACATACCCACAAATGTGTTTTTAAATTTTGAAATCTTGCCCCCCCCTCCTTCTTAACTCTCAAATGAACTACCGAATTTTCTGATTTCCCAAGTAAATCATTCTCATTATAAGTTATCTAACATTGCCTGATGAGAAACAAGTTTTAGTTCCAAAACATAGTTGTTTTTAGCGATATAATATATATATATAACACTAATAAACTTATAAATATAAGCAGCTATACTCGTCCGGCACAAAACCTTAGGTGTTTTAGCTTGTGACTGAACAAAGTAATATTCAAGGGAAAAAAAAGGGGTAAAAAAAGAAAGAACAAAGAACATGTACTTCCGGCGAAAATAATGGTCTAGCATCTAAGTTCAGAGTCCAAAGAAAAAAAAACCGATACGAGTAAAGTAAAATAAGTAAACAAAGTGCTCAATACGCTAAGTAGAACAAAATAAGTAAATCAACCTAAAGAGCCAGACTAACCTACCTGGGTTTTACCTACGCGGATCCCCACCTACGTGCCCTGACGATCCGCATAGATGAAACCTAGGTAAGTTAATCTGGCTCGAGGTTTATTTACTTACACACACACACACACACACACACACACACACACACACACACACACACACACACATATATATATATATATATTTTAAAGAAAGGAATAATACTCTCCGTATCGTGATAGATCAAAACATATATACTAATAAAATTTAAATAACAACATCTCTCCTTGCTCTTTTTATTCTTATATTGTTTATTTTTTCCAAGATTATTATCCCTCTTTTATTATTTCATTTATTTATTTTTGGCAAATTTGTTTTTATCTATCACTTTACGGAGAATAATTCTCTTTCCTCTTCCCCTCCAATCAGTTTTCGGACATATTTATATAGACTGCTAAAATATCCGTTTTAAAAACACTAATTAATTTACATTGTTCGGACTGTTATCCTCGTCTTTATTGTCATATTCGCGACGTTTCGGCCGTTTTACGTGTAAAGATGAAGACCGCAGCCCGAACAACATAAGTAATGTAAATAATTATAATACCTCATGTCATAAATAGAGCAAAGACTAATTAAATTTAACATGAATTTTGTTCCCATAAATGACACCCTCCAAAAATAATTATTAATATAATTAATTAAATACTATTAATAATTATTTTTTTTACTTTTAATCCCCTTTGTCTCCCGTCAGCATGGCTGATGCTAATCTCTGTCAGTTTCACGTTAGAGAACCTATCCGACGTACGATTAAGATTTAAATATTTGTATTATTGGTATCGATGGACATGTGGCTGATTGCTTAGTACATTCGCATCCTAACCATGAGACCCGAGTTCGTATCACACCATTGTCAGGAAAGAGACTTCTTGATATAATCGGACTGGAGCGCTCGATCCCAGCGTGCGACACCTTTGGAAAGTGCCTGAAAAACATGCCTTCTGAGTGAAATGGGGTAGAGTGATAGGGGTCATCTATAGCTCTGCAGTACGAAGACACAAGTGCTGCCCTTGTTTAAACTGTTGATCACGCTCTTTCCCAGAAACTAAGTTCTGCTCATAGTTGCAGTATAAACCAAGCTGTAGGTGTTGAATAAACACAAATGCGCCTGATTGGCTAGCCGCCCTAGACGGATATCTTCGAATACGAGTGGCCAGTTATATTATAAATTGGCATATAACACCGCACCAAGAACGTCTTTCCCACGGGTGAAATGACGCGCGTCAATTCTCTATTGTTATTTCCATGTTGAGCTGCTTTTCTTAGTACCACCACGGGACCCGCCATAGCAAGTACATAAGTGTGAATCATTCCATTTCCTAGGTATTCCAATAGTAATAAGTAAGTTCCATCCGGGCAACTTCTTCTCAAGAACTAATACCCAGCAGAAAGTTTTCCCAATTACTACAGTCTTGACCTCTTCAAGTCCAGAGTAAAATATTACATTTCCTGCATAACAGCACTTATGTTCATATATGTGTATGTATAGCTGGCCCCTCGTATTCGAGGATACCCGTCTACTAGTGCGGCTAGCTAATCCCTGTCGCAGACGCTTGCTCAGGTGCATTGTCCTTATTCAATATCCACAGAACCCACCTGTGGTTTCTACTGCAACTATGCTGAGCAGACCTTAGTTACAGTTTTTAGGAAAGCGCCTGTTACCTAGCATGATCACTAATTTGAACAAGGCCAGCACGTTCAAGCCCTCGGCCACTATGACTTGGGACTTCGTGCTAGCACAGCTATCGACGGCACCCAAGGTTCCGTTGACCCAATTTCATTCACAAGGCTTAGGTCAACCCGTGGTATGATTTTCAGTCACTTTCCAAAGGTGCCGTACGCTGGGATCGACCCTTCCTGTCTGATAATATCATGAATTGTCCTTCTTGACAAATCGACCATGGGCACGTGCCCGAGTGATTAGAAAGTTCGCATTCTGACAATGAGACCCGGGTTCGAATTTCAGTTATGCTCATATAGCACTGCACATTAACCCTCTACCTCGAGCGGATCTTGGGCCTTTTATTGGGCGAAAATAAATCTTGAAGTGTAACTGTTATGTAATATCAGTCATCCTATGTGGCAGGTACGTGAGTGTGAAATAATGCGTATGGCGATTATCTAAGTGTAGCTAAGATTTGGTACAAACCCTTAAATACGGGGCACCCAGTCAGGATCGAACTCCCTACACTGTCACAGTTGTTTTAGCGAATCAAGTTTGTTAACATATTACACCACGGTGAATTAGCCAAGTAATATGCTTATGTGTGCGTGATCTAGGTTGTGTGCGAGAGGGCGTGTGTTTAACCTAGGGAGAGATAATTAAATTTTATTTTGATAATCCAGTCTTCCTCTATGGCCGTAAATGCTGAACAATCTCCTCCCAGATGAAGGATAGATCTGAAGCAACAGAAATATGGTTCTACAGAAGGATACTGAGAATACTACGTACCAAACATGTGAACAACGACAAAGTTTTAGATAAAATAAAAACTAAAAGAAGACTTATACATAACATCAGAAAGAAACAGTTGAAATTTCTAGGGTACATCATGAGGAAAGAGGGCTTGGAAAATTTGATACTCCCAGGACAGACTGAAGAAAAGAAAGACTGAGAAAGACAAAGAATACTCCCCACCCCGCACCGAGCGAGCTTGACTTAAGGGATGACGAAACAATGTTTAGATGAGAAAACAATAAGACAAAAATATCGTGAAGGATACAAAGGAGAGGAAATTGTGGAGAGCCACGATCTCCAACGTCCTAAAGAAATATATGCTGGTGAAACATTTCGGTCGGAATTTTTTTGGAAAC